TTTTTTTTTCCTTTTTGTCTTTTTTCGTGTCCGGCAACGGATCGCAACCCTCAGTGTCGTGCCCGTACTGGACCGGGACCGGCAACGGGATCGCAACCCTTGGTGCTGCGCCTGCACCTCGCTCAGCCAGTGAGCTGGAACCGGTCTGTATGTGGGATCCGAACCCTCAGCGGGAGCACCGCTACGCTCCCAAGCAGCGCACTGTAGCAGTGCGCCACCGGGCCGGCCCTACATCCAGTTTTTGGTGATGGGGGTTTCTCCAGGCTTTCTGAACTCTTCCACCTGGGTAGGGCACAGTTCACTGGAACATCGTTGGTGGTGAGTGTCAGTGTGACCAGTGGTGAGAGCAGGCGTGGGTGGTGAATGTTGGCAGCCCAGATCAGGAAGTGTAGCTGTTTTCAGTGAACAGTGGGGCCATAAAGGAGGTGTTGCCAGTCACGTTGTGCAATGTAGGCTACATTCTTCTAGGGCAGGGGACTCATTTTCTAGGCTGCATAAAATTGGGAGAATCACCAGGTCCTCTGCCCTGAGATTGAATGAGGACACTCCTCATGGCTTCTTAAAGGAAAGATGAGTCAGAGAATCCCATGGTCAGTTTCTCTGCACTCCAGTAGTTTGGTGAGTGGCAAGACCTGTAGTCAGTGGTGGAAGTTTCCTTTTCTCATTTGCTCCACCTGTCTGGCCCTGGGAGCCATCTCCCCGGAGAGTAGCACAATGTCTGGTCAAGTGTTTCTGGTCAGGTGTCCATGTGCTTTGTGCCATGGGCTGCGGCCAGACAGAAGTTGCACAGGTGGAGCACTAGTTTTTAGCCAGGCACTAGTTGCCCCCCACGGGACATTTGGAAACATCTGGAGACATTTTCGAATGTCACAGCTACGGAGGTGCTACTGGCATCTAGTGAGTAGAGGCCAGGAATGCTGCTAAACATCCCACAGTGCACAGGACGGCCCCATAACAAGGAATTATCCAGCCCAAAATGTCCATAGTGCCAATGTCGAGGCCTACTTTGTTTTCAAAATTCTGTTAAAGATAAGACATCTGGATCCAGCTGAGATAGAGAACACACTCAACCCTATCTTTCCTGTTGCATACATTCTAAAGCCCTGGACAGAAGACATAAAGCAATTATCTGAGGACTCTGAAAAGTAAATAATAGACAAGTTAGGGAGGGAGGTCATTACTCAAAAAGCAACTAACACAGCACAAGTTTCTTGGTATTTTGCTTTTTCTTCTCCCATATCCTCCGTTTAGACTTCAGGGTGGTGCAAATCATAGAACTACACATTGGGCAGGGGTCCAAAAGAATTCCCAAAAAACTTCCTTCAGGCGGGAGGACACTCAGAAGGGGCCTTTGCAGGATGAAGGGCGTGGGAGGACACCTGGGCTTTTCTCTTTCCTTCTCCCCTTTCCCTTCTCTCCCTTTCTACATCCAGCCCTTTCCACAGCAGTGGCGGCCACACTGGTATCCAGATAAGAAGTAATTCACCTTTTCATTCACTCAAAAAACTGTAAAGAATAAAGACGAATGAGAAAGTAGCTAAAAGTTTAAAATAGAGAGTAAGGCTGGCCGGTTAGCTCACTTGGCAGAGTGTGGTGCCAGCAACACCAAGGGCAAGGGTTTGGATCTTCATACCGGCCAGCCACCCCCCAAAATTTAGGAATAAAATAGAGAATAAAAATCAACAAGAAAATGTTAGAAGTCTAAATAGGATAAATAAAAGTAGTAAAAATGGTTAAAAATATCTTACCTAATCCTTTCTTGTAATAAGTTCTATTTAAGTAGAAAAAGAAATAGATTGAGATATAGCAACAGTAAGTACAACCAAGAAGTAAAAAATTAAAGGAAACAATAAAATATGCAAAAGTTACCTAATTCACACAATGGACTCACAAGTAGGTGAATAAAAGTGTGAATACGGCTGCCACGCTGTCTAGCATTTGTCCCCCACACATCTGTCTTCCATGCTGGTGGTCCCGGGAGGGTTCCCCAGGGCGCTGACCTCAGAGAGGATTGCTGAGAGCTGAAAGAACCCTTTGGCATGCACCACTATCTGGCCTGTCTGAAACTTTTATTCCTACTGGTGGCAAGAACTTGCTGTCAAATTAAGCTGCCTCAGCTATTTTCTTTCATGGTGTCCCAGAAAAAAGCAGACGTGTACATCCACAGGCACATTCCCTCCTCCTCTTGTGTTATTCTAGCAGTGCTGACAGTGTGTACTTAACCAAAAAGACTAGTGTCTCCTAGTCTTTTTGACAGAGGGTGTGCATTTGAAAGAGCCCACTTGTTGGACTTAGTGGTAGTGAAGGGCAGTGAAGCAATTTTTCATTGAAAGAAATAAAACATTATTTTGAGATTAAATTTATACTCTTCCTTTATCCCCTCTGCTAACCATCAAGTTATAAGTGTCATAAAGGTTCTATAGATTTCTGTATCTAGTGGGATTTACATGCTACAAGGACAGGCCACTGCAGATCTAAGTGTGTTGGATTTCAATGGCTGTATCTACTGCTTTGTGTAGTAGCCATGTTTCTAAAAAGCAATATGCAAATTGAGACTTTCTAAACGTAGTATTAAAATGTATTAGAGGAACAGAAGCAGTAAAAGCTACTTTTAAAGTAAAAGTAAAAGCTACTTTTAAAGCTACTTCCTTCTCCATGCAGCTCAGAGGCGCTTTGCCCTTGTGATCAGGGGCATGGGCTTTACAGTCATTTAGCCTTGGTTTCATCTTCCTGCTCCATCACTTGCTGTCTGGATCATCTTGGGCTAGTCATTTAACCTCTCTGAATTTCAATTCCGTCATCGAGAAGATAGATAATAATTGTATCCATCACATAATCTGAGGATTAAAAGGAAAACACTCTCAGAGCACGCTGTGTAGTGCCTGGCTCATGGCTCTGTGTCCTGCGAGTGTGAGTTCCTATTTCCTGTTGGGGGTCTAAGTTTCTCATACACTAGGTTAACTGCTGGGGAAGAGGTTAGTGAGGGTACTCTATAACGTAATAGCTAAAGAATGATAATTCTATTGCTTCTCTTTGTGATAATGTCTTCATGGGAAGCACTGGCTTTTCTGCTTTATAGATATCATTGAAATGGACTCGAAGCGTGTGCCTCGTGATAAGCTGGCCTGCATCACCAGGTGCAGCAAGCACATCTTCAATGCCATCAAGATCACCAAGAACGAGCCCGCCTCCGCGGATGACTTCCTGCCTACTCTCATCTATATCGTGCTGAAGGGCAACCCGCCGCGCCTCCAGTCCAATATCCAGTATATCACCCGCTTCTGCAACCCGAGCCGACTGATGACTGGAGAGGATGGCTACTACTTCACCAACCTGGTAAGGGTTTCATCTCTCAGTGTTGTGGAGAAGAGCCAGGAAGATGTGTGTTTTAGGGATGTGGCGGATCATACACTGGCCTGCGCTAGTTATACTCCTGAGGGAGGGCTCAGCATGGTTGAGGACGTGTGCTTTGTGCTACTCTCCTAGGGTCACACTACTGATGCTGTTATGTGATGGAGGTGATAGTTAATTCAGGTGGTCTGATTTCAAAGCTTTTATTTTTTCCTATTTGATGTTAAAATCTTTCTGAGGCCTGTGTGCCACTCCAGTCCTTCAAGGACACCTGCCCACTGGCAGGCCAATGGGGTGGGTCTGGCAGGCCCTCCAAAGGGAATGGCTTTACGGTGCATCTGGAAGGGAGGCTGCCCCAGATGCTGGGCCCTGGCAAGCTCACCCACAGCAATGGTTCCTCTGCCCTGCAGCTCGACAGAGAAGAAGAGCCACCAAATTCAAGGACACATCTGGTTCTTGTGCACAGGCAGCTCTGTAGTTACCAGTGAGGAACAGCAGCAAAGGCACCTCCTGTACAAGACCTGAGGACCTTTGAACAAGCCAAGGAGAGGACTGAATTCCTGGCAGTCTGACTCAGTGGGGGTTAGCAGCTGGATTTAACTGAATGGTTTTTATAGCTGTAAAGGAAGAAAAGTATTATTTCAGATGGGGTTATAAGGAAACATGATTGGCTGTGTATTGGTAATTTTTGAAGCTGAAGTGCATGGCGTTTAGACTGCTTTGTCTACTTTTGCTTCTGTTTTAAATTCTCGATAATATAAAGATTTTAAAAATCTATTTGAATATTTATAACTTTCGGAATATAAGTATAACAACATTCTCTTCTTTTTGTAGTGCTGTGCCGTGGCTTTCATTGAGAAATTAGATGCCCAGTCTTTGAATTTGAGTCAGGAGGATTTTGACCGCTACATGTCTGGCCAGACCTCTCCCAGGAAGCAAGAATCTGAGAATTGGTCTCCTGATGTTTGTTTAGGTGTTAAGCAAATGTATAAGAACTTGGATCTCCTGTCTCAATTGAATGAGAGACAGGAAAGGATCATGAATGAGGCCAAGAAACTTGAAAAGGACCTAATTGATTGGACGGATGGAATTGCAAAAGAGGTTCAAGACATTGTTGAGAAATATCCACTTGAAATTAAGCCTCCAAATCAGTCATTAGCAGCTATTGACTCTGAAAATGTTGAAAATGACAAACTTCCTCCACCATTGCAACCTCAAGTTTATGCAGGATGATAAAAATTGACACAGATAGTATTTATTTGGGCCTAAATTGTAGGTAGCCCTTACCACAGTCCCTTGATTGGGATGTAGAATATAACTTAATTGCTTGTAAAGGTCAGAATGTTGTTAAAGGTACAGTTTGTGGGGGTTTTGTTTTGTTTTTTTCTTGGCAGGGCAAGCTTAGTAAATAATAAGCTACTATTTATTTGAGTTGCTGAGATAGATTCATTTAAGGCTTGTGTGAAAATTTTGTCTAAATCTTTTTTTTCCTCCATGATTTTCCTATGCACTTCCTTTGTGGCATTCACTGTGGTTTGGTTTTGGGTAAATAATTGCCTTTTAAAGGATAAAACAAATGAATGTTACAAAGTGTGTATTTGAAGGAATTCAATGGTACCACTGTTCCACAGTTTGAAATAATTTTATAATTGTAAAGACAGAAGATATATTGATAAGTAAATATGTAAAATTGTAAATACGTTAAAAAAAATGGTGTCTGCTGTGCATGGCATTTCATGTATTCATTTTTTTTTTTAGTTTAAAATGAAATATATTGAATGTTTGTCCTTAGCACCATTTTATTTGGTTTACCCTACTAAAATGAATCCAGAAGTGTTTAGACTTACTCCCTTAAAATGTGGACTCCATCATAACAGTATGTTAGCCCTAACTTTGAGATCCTGTACAGTCAGAGACTGTGACACCATTAAGGTTCAGGATAAGTTTTTGGTCATGTAAAGTTGCTGTTCTCAGTGTAGTCATTTGAAGACTTTGAACCATATTTCTAGCATCTTTTTTCTACATTCATTCAGCAATTCTTTATTGCGTTCTTTGATGTAAAGGAGCTGGCTCTGGGTGTGGGGTGGAAGATGGCAGTAGGGTGCTCTGCTGGTGAGAGTTGATGGTGTTCGCTCAGAGCTGTAGAGTACAGGGATACCTTGCAGCCTCCAATGTGAACTTTTGACTTTTTGGGCAACCCAGACACATGTCATATAAACCTCTTTCAGGGTTTGTTTGTTTTTTGGTGGCTGGCCAGTACAGGGATCCGAACCCTCAACCTTGGTGTTATAACACTGTGCTCTAACGGAGCTAACCGACCAGCCCTCCTTTTTAGAGTTTCTTACCCTCAGTACTGTTGACATTTGTGCCCTGAGAAATTCTTGTGGTGGCGGCTGTCCTGTGTACTGTAAGGTGCTTACAGCATCCCTGCCCTCTACCTGATGCCAGTAGCAGCCCCCACAGTTGTGAAAAATTGTCTCCAGACATTGCCAAATGTCTCCTGGGGGCGAAATTGCCCCCAGTTAAGAACCACTGATCTCTTTGGTTAGTGAGATAATGATCCTCCTGGTAGTTAATATGATGTAACCAAAGAACATGGCATCAAATGCACAGTTACAGTGTTAAACTGGTACCTCATTCAGTGAGGCCCTACAGCTACCTGCAGTGTGGAAACTTTTCTAATGCTAATAGAGCCTTCATAACCTAAATATACCACTGATGATGCTTCTTCCAGTCAGGGACCTCTGCAGGTGATCAGTGTACGTGTGAAGTGGTAACTCCCCAGGCACCGTTCTTGAACAGACCACATCACACAAGCAGTTTGAAAGGTTCTCTGGCTTTCCCATGATCTTCCTAAGAATGTGCGTGTACCACAAAATTGTAGAGTAGTAATTTTGGAATAAAACTAGGGTAGTTATAAAACTTTTTATGCTTTATTTAAATTTACATATAAAATCTATCAAGTATGGCACATCTAATGTCATAAAGCACCTAAGACATGAAGCAGTTAGCCAAGTCAGCTGGTCACCAAGTGCACATGGGAGGTGATGAGTTACTGTCACATGCCAGGAAGAATTTTCTTGTAGAACAACCTTGGCCCAAATGATTTTAGTAGAAAGCTTCCCCTTTTTTGTGTGTACTTTCTAGGTGCTAAATCAGGTATGCATAGTCTTAATTCTAGAAATATGCAGCTCTTTTAGTTGTTGTACATTATATTTGTTAAATAATATGTGCATGTCAGCCTCCCTCAAAAGCTGGCTTCTTTGGATTTCTTACATATTTTTAAAGTAAGTTGTTGTGTTGATTTTTTGTAGATAGCTCATATTGGTCTAATTCTTCAGATATGGACTCTTGCCTTATGTAGAGGCTTATATTTCTCTTAAGTCAGCATCAACACAATGGCCAGAGTTTCTGTTTTCTCAAAAGAAAGTGTTAATATTTTATGGATTATAAATGTTATTGGAATAAAGCTTTGGAACAGAAGTTCATATTACTAAAGTTTCATGATCTATTCCTCGAACAAATAGATTGATTTTGGCTCTTTAGGAGAATATACATTAATATTCTTATTTTACAAAGGTTTCCTTTTCAAGCTATAACCATCATTATCATACTTAAAAATGAAACATTATAATGAGACGTTTTCCAGTTAAAATTAAAAACCAGGTAAGGATATTTGCTATCACCACAATTAACATGGTTCTGAAAGTTTTATTCAAGATACTAAGTCTTTAAACAGAAATAAAGGTAGAGGAAAAAGGAGTTAATCTGATCATTACAGAGGTAGTTTGGTGGTGAGGACATGAACTCGAGCTAGAAGGCTTGGATTTGGTTTTCAGCTTTGATTCTGCCTCTTACTTGTTAGCTCTTGGCCTTGAGCAGTTTTCTCATGTTTCAGTACCTCAGCTGAGAAATGTGTTAATAATAGTACCTGCTTCAAGGGGTTATTGTCTGGATTAAATGACATAGAACAAGTGATAGCTATGCTCTGGTTGCCACCTTGAAATTGTTAATAATTTCATCTTTGAATTTCTGTTGTGTCAGTGAAATCTGATGGGGCAATGGAGCATGCGGTGGGAGCTTGGAGCCTTGGGACATGCCTGGTCTTGTCTTCTGCCACCTGCCCAGAGCAGGTACCCTGTGACCTCTCTAGCCAGAGCCTGGGCACCTAGGAATGGCTGTGCTTGGGTGTGCATGCCTGTGGTGGTGTCTTGGGACAGGGCATGATGTTGGCCAGTGCTGCCCTGGGCAAGTGGAAGCTGAGAGCTGCCCATCGATTTGGAGTCAATTACAGGAGGTCAAAAGTGGGGCTGAAAGTTCCAACCCTCTAGTTAACTTGGTCTTTCTGGCGACCAGCTCCATCCTAGGTCATCTCATTAGCATAAACTCAGATGTGATCTAAATGGCCTTGTGAATAACTAAAGACACTCCTGTCACTGAGGAAGTTTTAGGAGCTCTGTGCCAGGAACTGGGGACAAAGACCAAATACATTTATTAAACCACAGACTTGAATAGACATTTCTCCAAAGAAGATCTACAAATGGCCAATAAGCACATGAAAACATGCTCCACATCGCTAACCATTAGGGAAATACAAATCAAAACCACCATGAGATACCAGTTCACACCCTTCGGGATGGCCATTATAAAAACAAAAACCAGAAAGTAACAAGTGTTGACAAGGATGTGAAGAAATTGAAACTCTTGTGCATTGTTGGTAGGAATGTAAAATGGTGCAGCTCCTATGAAAATATGGCCATTTCTCAAAAAATTAAAAAAAGAATTACCATGGCTGGTCAGTTAGCTCAGTTGGTTAGAGCATCGTGCTGATAACACCAAGGTTGAGGGTTTGATCCGTATCCCAGCCAGCCACCAAAATAAAGTAAAATAATAAAAATAAAAATAGAATTACCATATGGTCCAGTAATCCTACTTCTGTATATGTACCGAAAAGAACTGAAAATGTGGTCTCAAAGAAATATTTGCTTACCAGTGTTCACAGCAGCATTATTCACAATAGCCAAGAGGTAGAAGCAACTGAAATGTCCATCAGTGGATGAATGGATGAACCAAATGCGGTAAACACATACAATGGAATGTTTTTCAGCCTTAAAAAGAAGGAAATCCTGGGCCGAGCCCGTGGCGCACTTGGGAGAGTGTGGCACTGGGAGTGCAGCGACGCTCCTGCCGCGGGTTCGGATCCTATATAGGGATGGCCGGTGCGCTCACTGGCTGAGCGCGGTGCGGGAGACACCAAGCCAAGGGTTGCGATCCCCTTACCGGTCACTACCACTATTAATAAACCTGAAAAAAAAGACACTATTAATAAACCTGAAAAGAAAAATACCACTGTGAACAGATACACCATTTAGCAGTTGCGTCACTACAACCAAGTCAACAGAGTCAAAAAATACTTAAAAATAGGTGCCACTCGAAAGTTAAAGAATTAACATATGATCCAGCAATTCCATTTCTGGTTATACACTCAAAAGAAGTGAAAGCAGGTCTCAAAGAGATGTTTGCACAGCCATGTCCACAGCAGCGCTATTCACAGTAGCCAAAAGGTGAAATACGTGTCTGTCAACAGATGAATGAACAAAATGTGGTTTGTACATACAGTGGAATATTATTTGGCCTTAAAAAGCAATGAAATCCTGACACATGTCACAACATGGATGGACCTTAAGGTGAAACATGCTAAGTGAAATAAGCCAGTCCAAAACAGACAAATACTCTATTATTCCACCTACATGAAATTAGAAGAGCGAAATTCATAGAGACAGAAAAAGTAGAATGGTGGTTGTCAGGGGCTGGGGAGAGGGGGTGGGGAGTTCGTGTTTAGTTGAGAGAGAATTTCAGTTTGGGGAGGTGAAAAGAATTCTGAAGATGGATAAGGTGATGGTTATACACATGAATGTCCTTAACACCACTGTACTGTATGTTAAAAATGGTTAAGATAGTACATTTTATGTTATGTGTATTTTATTATAATGAGAACTTTTAAAAAACCATTGGCAATCTTCAATGAAATTGATTTGAGTGAAGATGGTCAAGAGATTCAGAGGTGCAAAGTTGTTGCAGAAAATGATATTCTTACTGTGCTAGAGTATTCCCCACGTTACATGATAAATTTAAAGAGATCAGACAATATCATGAATAGCAGGGCAGACATCACAAGTCTCCTAATGTGAAGTACATTAGGTACATGAAGTACACAGCACTTTTTATGAAGCATTGTTGCCAAAAATGTTTAACTGGAATCTAATCAAGTCTTTAAACCTAGCTTCCAGTTTACAGAAAATTGAAAAAAATGTGGACACAAGTACAAAATATGTGACAGGCTGGACTTTTAGCTCAGTTGGTTAGAGTGCAGTGTTATAGCAAGGGTTCGAATCCCTATACCTGCCAACTGCAAAAACAAACAAATACGTGACATTTTCTAAGATAATAGGCTGGACTTTTAGCTCAGTTGGTTAGAGTGCAGTGTTATAGCAAGGATTCGAATCCCTATACCTGCCAACTGCAAAAACAAACAAATACGTGACATTTTCTAAGATAATTGCCCTGGTCTCTTAAAAAAGTCAATGTAATGAAAAAAAGTAAGACTGTTCTAGAATCAGACTAAAAAGATGTAACCAATGAGGGCAAAAAATAGCTATAAAAGAGAATTTGAGGACAACTTTGTAAATTTGAGTATGAATTATACATTGTATGATACTAGTACATTTTTACTGTCTTTAGGGATAATATGAGGGTATTTCAAAAAGTTCGTAGAAAAATGCAGTTAAAAGATAATATGAATCCATGAACTTTTCAAGGACCCTTCATAATAGTCTTGCCGATGGGGAATAGTTTGTTTTTCCTATGGTGTTTGGTTGGAGGAGTGTGGGGTAGTCATAATGTTTTCTGATTTGGTAAATCATCCTTTTCCCTTTGTTGGTTCCTGTTGGCAGTTTTGGGTTGTGGGCTTCTTCTACACCCTGTCTGGAATATATAGGAGCCTGGACTTCCACACTGGCCTAGTGGTGATGAGGCACCCTTATGTCTCTCTGGTCATAATGAAGGCTGAATGGGGGAGCCTGGAACTCCAACCCTGCTCAGTGGAAATGTGGGGTACTTCTCTCTCCACAGTGTCAGTAGAGGTTGAGTGATAGGTAAGAATGAAGTGTACCTCTCTGTTCCCTGTGCGGTAGTGTCAGTGGAGGCAGAGTGCAGAGCCTGGACTTCTACGGCCACCTGGTGGTAATGAGGTAGCACCTTCCTTTCCCCACCAGAGTGGTGTTGGCAGAGTCTTAAATATTCTGGAAAGGATTATTCAAATCAGATTGAGAGTCTCATAACTTAATACCCTACCCCAAATGTTCAAGATACAATTAAAAAAATCACTCATGATATCTGAACCAAAATGAGACATGTTAGAATTATCTGACAAAGATTTTTAAAGAAGCCATTTGTAAAAATGCACTGATGAGCAAAGACAAACATGCTTGAAACAAATGAAAAAGTCCCAGAAAAACCATTGAAGATATAAAGAGACAAATGGAAATTTTAGGACTACAAAAACTGAAATTAAAAACAAAATGAAACAAAATAAAAAACCACCTTACTGATGGACTCCATATCAGAATAGGGAAAACAGAGGAAAGGATCTGTGAACTGGGAGATAGGTCAATAGCAATTCCCAATCTGAACAACAGAAAGTAGACTGAAATGTTAAAATGTAGCCTCAGGGACCTGTGTGAGACAATAACAAAAGATCTAGCATGCTTGTCATTGGGGTCCAGAAGGAGAAGAGAAAGAGCGTATGGATAAAAAAAATACTAAATAGCAGTTGAAAATTTCCTAAATTTGTCCGAAGTCAGAAACCTACAGATTCAAGAAGGTGAGTGAATCACAAACAGGATAAAACCAAAGAAATCCATGCAAGGACATGTCATAATCAAACTTCTCAAAATTAAAGACAAAAAATGTTGAAAGTAGTTAGACAGCAAATGATTTATCTGTAGTGGAACAATGATTTGAATGACAGTAGATTTCTCTTCAGAAACCATGGAGACCAGAAGGAAGTGGAATAACATTTTTTTCAAGCACTTAAAACAACCACCAAAAATAGCCTTTAAAAATGAAATGAAATAAGGACATTCTTAGATGAAGGAAAAACCAAGAGGATTTGTCACCAGAAGACCTACCCCAAAAGAATGGCTAAAGGAAGTTCTTTCAGACAGAAAGGAAATGACAAATGAAGGAAACCTGGACATTCAGAATGAAGAAATAACAAGGGAACAGTTACAAATATGGGTAAATACTATACACTACCCTTCTCTTTAGTTTTTAAATTATGCTTGACAGTTGCAGCAAAAATTATAACATTGATTGATGTGGTTATCTCAGTAGGAACAGCAGGATTTCTCAGCCTCAGCATTAGTGATGTTGGTCCAGAGAATCATTTGTTACATGGCGGGTGGGGAATGGGCTGTCCTGTGAATTGGAGGA